TCTCTCTCTCTCTCTCTCTCTCTCTCTCTCTCTCTCTCTCTCTCTCTCTCTCTCTCTCTCTCTCTCAACATTTCCTGGTCTTGAAGATTTTAGCTGCATGCACGTCCTGTCTAGCTGGAGAGCCATGTGTCATGGCTCTCCCCTTAGTTTCATACTCTTTGATTCTTTCTACCTGTATATCTTTATTTAGTTCTTCTGTCCACCAGTACTATATACATTGTATCACTTGTGGGAGAAATAGTTTATTTTTTCGTTGCTTGCTTGTTGAGACAGTCTCAATATGTAGCTGTGGCTGGCCTCTCCCTCTGCCAGAGTGCTAAAATTAAAGGCATAAACCACCACACCTGGCTCTAAAACATCATTTTATAATAAGATAAAGAACATTTTGTTTCTGGAATACTCCCAGGATAACCAGTGTTTTCTTAACTTTGTTTTGAGCAGTAAAAATAAAATTGTGTATGGTATCACAAACTTTGACAAAATGTTTATAATGAGATATATAGACACAAATGTATATAATTAGAAATCTTATTGTATTTTTAAAATCACGCTCTGCTTAGACTGGCCACCTTGCTCTGTTCTCTTTGGTGTGAATAGAGTTGTACACCTTCGCACCTGGCTGCTTAGTGTTAGCTTATTTTTCTCATTGTGGACAGTTCCCCAGAATGCAGTCACACCCGGCCTATTAGTCCACTCACCAGGTAAGGGAGCTTTGGGCTGCTTCCAGATTCTAGTCTTTGCACCAAAGCTGCCAGGAGCCCTCGCATGCTCTGATGGTTCGAATGAGAATATCCTACTTAGACTCAGGCATTCGAGCACTTGGTCACTAGTTGGGGGAGGCTAGATGGTTCAGCCTTGCTGGAGGAGGTATATCATTGCAGGGCTTGGAAATTCAAAAGGCCCACCTAGTTCCCATGTGCACTCTTCCTTTCTGTTAAAGGATGTGAGCTCTCACCTTTTGCAAGGCTTTTCCCTACCTCTCGCTGCCAGCCTGGAGTTGAAAGCCAAAACCAACTCTTTGTCTACGTTATCTTCTCACAGTAACAGAAAAGTAGGTATCTACTACACACCTGACCATAAATCTCCATTGTACGTTAGGTTAGTAGCTATGAATGGGCTTGTGCTAAATCTTAGCTTGTTTACTTAACTTGCTCAACAGACTCCAAAAGTTTGTAAAGAAACTTTTAAAGTAAGTGCCCAGTAGCTTTGCAGAGAATGGCCTCTAAATACACTTCTCTGCACTAATCTAACAAAGTACAGTTTCATTGCCAGCTTTCCCCAGCTTACTCTAACTCACACGATCACCCTCAACCTCTCCACACACACGTTTGCTTGCTTTTTTTTTTTTTTTTTAAAAATTAGATCTTTTTGGTCAATATAGTAAATTTTAAAGAGAGCAGCAGCATGCAGTGTGAGATGCCCTTGTCTGTCAGTGATGCTCAGGCGTGGTAGGTGGGAGCCTTAGGCCAGGTCACTTTGCTTGTTAAAACTGCATATGTTCTGTGGTTTGGTTTAAAATACTTGAAATTTTCCAGAAGTTATTGCTTCCTTTGATTCTTCTTAGGAGGCTGAGTTTCTGATTCCCATTAACCCCTACTTGACTGTCACAGCCTCTGAACTGACTTATGTGCTTGTTCAGATAAAGGATTGCGTTTCATAAATATTGACATTCTGTTTGGAGAATAGAAATTTAGAAATGTGCTTACTTGTAATTAAATTGTTTCAGATTTTATAATAATGGAAGGTTTGGGTTTAAGATATGTAAGATAATTAATGCAGAAAACTAGAAACAGAATCTACTGTTTTTGAACAATAAGAGATATATATAGCAAAATTTTTCATTTTTCCTTAAGGAGTTAAAAAAGAGAGTACATACGATTTAAATTAAGTCTCTTCACCTCCCACCCCAGCTGAGGCCCGAGTCCAGGCTTCATGCTTAGTGTTCTACCAAATTAACCCCAAATTAAGTTTTTATAATCAGAATTTTATTTAAAACGTGTTTAAAGTTTAAATTTAGTCTTTCATTAAAGCTACAGTTTTCTTGTAAACATGCCTTCTCTAGACAGAGTTCTGAGGTGTGGACTAGTGTTGAAAGCCATTAAGAACTTAGATCAGGGTTTTCACTTCAGAATTATCCAGAGTAATTCTATACCAAATTTTGATTCATCTTATTATTATTTCAATTTGGCCCTTTAAACAAAGTTTATCTTTAGTGTTTGCTTTGGCAACACATATATTAAAATTGGAACAATACAGAGGTTAGCATGCCTCCTGCACAAAGATCACATGCAAATTCATGAAGTACTCCATATTTTTTTTAAAGTGTAAATCTTTATTACTTAAATGATGTTTGGTCTGAGTGCACATTGGGATAGTACTCTACAAATAATATTTTAGTTGGCAAAGATACTTAATCCTGTTCATATGGAAAGGGAATTATAATTAAAACCAACAACCTGCCTTTCCAGGGTTGTGGCTAGGGATGCTCTGGTGGGATGACTGACTGGGAGCATCAAGGCTTTTAGGGCCCTCTTAAAGATGTGTAATGAACTGCCCTTAAATGCAAGGGTTCTGTTTGCACTAGTAATTAAATTCATACTGAAGACTGGTAGGGCAGCTTGCTATTTATGTGTTTTGTCTTGGGATTTTAGTAACTTAAAAGGTGAGATGAAGGAATAAATAGGGGAATTTTTAATAAATTGTAGTAGAAAAACATGTGCTAACTTCTCAGCTATTAACCAGTTTACCTGGAGACTAAGAACTGCAGCACACACATCTAGGTCTTCCCTGCTCTTCACTCAGGTGTCGTGCTTTACTCCTTGGTCCTAGGCTGACTTTGGAGACATTAAAAGTGTGCTAGCACTTGCTTGATGATTCTAGGTGGATCAGTTTGCTCAGAGTGGGCTGCTGCTGTTTAATATGCAGTATGTTTTCCCACAGTCCTGTCTGAAGGTGGGGGGCATCTCCTTGTAATAGGCACCATCACCGTTTCTGTGATTGTCTTGTCATCATCTTGATACTGTCCTTTGGTAAACAAGCACTTTTAAGTGTAATAACATTCAAGTTGTACTTGATGTTGCTGCTTTAGTGCCATGTCCGGGGTGGCAAAGGCTCAGCTGTATGTGCTTAGGAGAGTTCTGTGGTGGTAGGTATTTCTGTATTTGCTGTACATCTATCTTTAACATGTGGCTGTTGACTTGGTTGAAAGTCATTTGACCACAGGGATCCAGCTCGCTTTTGGATCTGTAGTCTAGCAACTCTTCCCGTTGTGGTATCTTGATAACAGTTGTGAGGCTGATGAGTGCAGGTCTTTCAGCATTGTTCCTTTGCACTCTTTGGTTGGTTGTTTTGCGCTCTGGCATCTCCACATGCATTTGAAGATTCACTCCTCATCTCTGTACAAAAACCATTGTGATTTTAGTGGAGCTTCATTGGCTGTCTAGTTGATTTGGTATTTGTCATTTTAATGGCATCCTGGTGTTTCCCCTTGCAGTCTCTGGTTACTGTCAGCAGTGGGCCATGGTTTTCAGTGCAGAGTCCTCACCTTGACTGTTAGTCTTGAGTATTGGAGTCTTTGGGTTGCTCATTGCTCTCATGCTGTCATAGAAATGCACACTGACTTTTCTATACTTTTTTTTGTACACTGGTAGAAGAGGTGATCTAAAATAGATTTGAAAAGACTAGAATTTGACAAAAATACATGAGAAGCATGTTCTAAGCAGAGGAAACTCACTTAGTTTCTACCCACACCACCCTCGGCAGAGCACAATCACCCAGAAAGCAGGGAAGAGCTGTGTTGGGGAGAACAGCACATATAACCCTAGAGAACACCTTGATGTCGGGAGTACACCATCGCCTGGCAAAAATTCCAAGCTCTTATCTGGTAGTTCCACTTAGCTTCCATGCTGGTCCACTTCTGTTCCCAGAGAGAAGCCAGAAGCAACAGATGAAGTTAGAAGCGTAGTGGAATCACGAGGATTGTTCCTCAGAGTCAAGATGGCAAGCAGTGGGTTCCACTGTCTCTCACTGTTGAACTGTCCCTGTCGGACATGCTGTCAGTGGCAGTCTTTCTCTTGAATTTTGGGCATGACTTGGGGGAGATTTCTTAGCTGAGGGCTTTAGGCAGTATACTGGAGTTAGGATATGTCAGGAATTGGTCCAGTCTCAGTAGATTAAAGATTCTTTGGGGATAGCATTCTCTTCCCAATATATAATACCTTAATTTTGTTGGATTTGCATTTACAGTATTATAGACAGTGTGCTAATTGCCATAGTGTCGGTATGGGTTAGACAGCTCACAAGCATTTGAGGACCAACATCTGTGCCAAACACTTTTAATTACAGCAGGCTTTGATTGTCTTGATTTATCCCATAAATAAATTCATTATATTGGAACTGCTCAAATTCCTGAGAACAGTTATTTACTCTTCGAGAATCTGCCACTCAGAGTGCACATCTTCTACTCTGAAGCAGACTGCCGGGGTTTTCCTTAAAAAATGTGTGTGTATGTGCACAAACATTTGCATGAGTGCAGACATGCCACTGTTCATCTGTTGTGGTCAGAGGAATCAGTTCCCTCCTGCCATCATGGTCCCATGGATAAAAGTTAGGTCATCAGGGAGCAGCCATCTTTAACTCCAAGACATCTCAGCAATACAGGTTCTGTTATTTTTAAAGATTGATGTTATGCAAGTATATTTTTCATAGAAGATGAAGCATGTTTTCATTATCCTTAGTATTGAACTCTTCATGAATACCTAAGAGATGCAAATGTTTCCCTGACAGACACCATAGGCTAGATTTGCACACATTGTATATTTCCTTCTTTCTGGTTTTTATGAGACAGGGTCTCATGTAGCCTAGGCTGGCCTTACGCTTGCTTGATAGCTGAGGATAACCCTGAACTTCTGATCCCCCTGTACCTACCTCCTAAATGTTGGGATTACAGGTATGTGCCACCACACTTGGTTCATACAGTGCTGGAGATTAGATTCAGGACTTCAAGATTGTGAGTTAAGCACTCTGCTTGCTGAGTTACAGCCCCAGTTTCCTTTTTCTTTTTTTCTTTCTTTTAATTGTACAGGTGTCTAAACTGGGTATGATTAAGTATTTTAACGTGTCACATAGTTATATAGTGATGATTTTATTTAAAACCAATTTAGGTCATTTAAAAACTGCAAACAGTCTAAGAAAATAAAAGTGATGGGTGTTTTGTATTGCTGGTGGTGGTTTTAAACGTGTTTAGAATTAGAGCTGAAACCTCTGTTAGAGAACGTAGACTGGTACAAATAGAGAGAGCGTAATGTCTTCTTTTACGGGCGAATGTCTTTTCGTCTGATGTTCCAGCATGTTGATGGCATCTAGAGCAGGTTCAGTGGGCAGTGTGTGAAATGAAGATGACAAATGAGACTGGTGTTCTGGTAGTGAGCCAGTGCCTTTCTAAACACACCTGAAGGTCATTGGCGAGCTGAAATGTACCCCAGAAGTGAGTAGACTGCAGCAGACAGGATCACGGAATAGTTCTCTTAAATTGTAGGGCTCACACTGCAATGACGGAGTTCTGGGTAATGGGGATGGGGGCTGGTTGCTGGCACTGATACTCAAAAACTGTGGGAAGTAGGAAGGCATGAGGCTGAAAGGCTCTTGTCCAGCTTCTCCCGCTTCTCCCTAAGAGACGTGCACGACTTTGGACAATTCTCTTTCACTCTAAACCTTCAGCGTGTGCTTCCTTTTGGCTCTTTGGGTGTGTTAAGATTGAACACACACTTGCGTATATTAGGCAAGCCTTCTACCTGACCTTCTTTCCTGTTCTGTAGGACTTTTAGTTCTGGTTTTTACCAAGTATGTGCGATGTTTGATTTTTAAGGTCTCTTTCAACTATTCTACCAAAAGAGATTTTTCCAGGTTATAAACCAGCATTATTTTTAAAATTTCCTGTTAATCATAACATTTAAAGATGAGTTAGTTTTCCTCACACAGTAAGGTGGTTGGTTTTCCTAATTATTGGTGATAACTCTGTCTGATCTCAACCTTATGTCAGATTGCTGCAGTTGTCAAAACATCGTTTGCCTTAATAATTTGGACCCAACAACTTAATGTTTTCTAATGGAAGAAATAGAAGCTCTCAAAAGTAAACACTTTAAAATGAAGGCATCTCAGTTTAGGGTGGTTTGAATGAGCCGTAATCCTCCATTAAGTGCAGAAGGAAAGCCTGTCTCCTGGTGTCACCTGCTGTGAAGGCTTCTTCTCTAGGTGATAGCAGACTGCATCAAAAACAAAGTCCACACTTCATCTGGCTACCCTGTTTGAGTAGGGCACGAGATGTAGGTAGATTGTGTAGATTGTGAGTATTTATTACATCATAACAAACATTGAGAACAGAAAATCTGAGAGTGCGTTACATTATAGTAACAATAATACCTTTTTGGGGGAAGCTTGGGCTTCAGCTGTTATGTGCATTGGTCACGATTGAGATGGATTTCTTTCTCAACTATTCCCATCTTTACTGTGAGCACCTAGTATACTTCATAGTTCATTCAAAGTAATAGGCAGTAAATGATCATTTAATTATAAAAATTAGTAGAGTTACACACAATTTTGTAAGAACAGGATACTACAATTTGGAAAACTTTGAAGAGTTGACATGTCATAGTGGGTACCATCCTGGGCATAGGTCGTGTGTTACCTTTAGTTTATACTGAATGGGGGGTATGGTGAGAGAGAGCCTTGTTCCAGCCTCAAATTTTGATCCACATAAACTGGGAGCATTGGCGATTTCCTTTTCAACAATTTGAGCTCCAGCTTCCTCAGCATTAGCATTAACTTCACAATGGATAAAAATATTACTGTAAAAGCACCCAGTACTTTGGAATATAGTGACTGTTTATTAAAAAGATTAAAAGGGTTTAAACCACACCAGACTAGTAGTGATTATTTTAAAGCATTGCTTTGAGCATTCTGTTAAAAAGTAAATTATAAGGTTAATTGGATCATGTGCATGGAGAGATAGATCCCTTGTGACACTTTGAGAACTTAAAGGAGCTGCAGTTATAGAAGAATGCGTTCTTTGTGATATGTGTGTGCATGTTTGTGTTTGAGAGGAGGTGTTTGTGCTCACGTGCCTGTGTATGGAGGCCAGGGCTACCTCAGGCATTGTTCCTTGGGGGTGTTCACTTGTTTTGAGGTAGAATCTCTCACTGGCTTGGAATGGACTGATTAGGCAAGCCTGGGAGCCAGAAAGTCCCAGGAATCCTGGAATTCTGGTCTCTCCCCCCCCCCCTTTGTTTTCTTTTCTCCTTCCCTTCCTCCCTCCACCT